TATTAAGTAAAGACTTGTGTCGTTTAAGTTTCGTCGGAACGAAGTTACGGAAAGTTAATTAACAAACGGAGACGTAACAATATTATTCAGCTAACACAAACTCTAGCCTGAACTTAGGTGATTAAACAAATATAAAAATTTTGTTATCTGACAGTATTAAATTATAAAATTGCTCGTGTATTTTTTTAACTAAATGTGGTGCATGTCAATCTTTATGGAAGCCAAATAAAACAAAAATGTTTTATCAGATAAAACAATATTCATATTTTCATGTTGTTAGTTGTTTTTTAAAACACAAACGGCATGAGTTGTTTTGTTCTATTCTCCCACACTAAGCTCTTACAATAATTTAAATTTGCGTGGGTTTAAGTAATTTCTTTAATGTGTGAATAATTTTCTTTAAACTGTTGAAATTCTTATGATTATATGTTTCTTTTAATAAAAACTTCACTACCATCATATTTAAAGGATAAAAAAAGGCACGTATAACCCCAAAATTACCACAAATCGCATTGTGGATCGTCTAGAAAATTTCAGAAACTATTTTCCTGGTGATTTACTAAAAAGTTATAGACATAACAGTGACATTTTAGCCCACGTAACTTAAGTTAAATTCTAAATATAAAAATTCACTCACATAAGGAAGCATAGAGGTTAATATCACATGTAGCTATCTTGCTTTACGAAGCTGAGTACATTTATAAATATAATTGATCAATTTCTAAATAAAAATATTTTTAAATTCTAAATATAAAAATTCACTCACATAAGGAAGCATAGAGGTTAATATCACACGTAGCTATCTTGTCTTACGAAGCTGAATACATTTATAAATATAATTGATCAATTTCTAAATAAAAATATTTTTAAATTTGTGTAAAAGTATATGTTATTAAAGTCTAAACAGTGACATAAACAATTACATGTGATACACACTGTTTAAAAGATGACGATCTCGGCAGTGCTAGTTTACATTCAAAAGCAATCCTAAAACCCAAACCCATCTTTCCTATAAAGACCGCCGACTAGACGTGACAGCTTCTCATGATAACGCCGGTACAATACACTTTACTAATGTGATATTTATGAGTAGGGCCGGATTAAGGACTTGGGGTCCCGGGTCAAATTTTTAGTGGAGACCTCAGAACTGAACTCCTGATTTTTAAAATGAATCATTGCTATAAATTAAAGAATTAATCAAAGTTTCACGACTTACACTGAAATAATTTACATAGACTTACTTATCCTATAATAAACTTTTAACATGTACTAACGACCCACAAAACAGTTGCAGCAATTTTCATACCCTTCACTTTAATTTTCATTATTTTATCATTTTCTCGCACGCCATTTAAGCTAGCAGGTATTATGTATTAGATTGATAAATCCTGGTCTATTTGAAAATAAAATAAAATACGCGGTCAGACAAACAAACTCACGTAAACGTAATTTTATTTAATAAAACTACACGTAAAATATAGTAATGGTATTTATAATATTGTACTGAATATGAAACAGTTATGAGTGTTCAGTGTATAACACAGTTTTACGAGTTGAAACAAAGAAACTCTCAAGAACGAAAAATAAAATCCGTAGTAAAGAAAAAAAAAGTAGTTAAAAAGGTGTTTATAGCAGTCTATGAAACGAAAGGAAGCTAAATTATTGCAAAGTAAAATAAATGTAACGTTTTAATGAAGGCAAACTTAGCCGAATGTGTAGAAACGTCAGAATGCATGTTCACAAAGTGATAAGCACATGGTTTTGAACGAGCTGTGCATGTGTATTTTAGACATAAATAAGTCGAGAAAGTCCATAGAAATTGCATTTAGTGTAATTTTTTGTTGTTTAAATTACAAGCAGGTTAAGTGTTGTTTATGTAAAACACTATGCAAATAAAAAACTATAGTTGAAGTCGAAGCCATTCGTCACGTAATTACAATGACATTGTGCCATCGTGTACTATACTCGTTGAATTGAAAAGTTTGGCTAAGCAAAAAAACAGGTAAGGCTATTCTGAACTGAAAAGCCAATATGCAATCCGGACTCCTCGGACAAAGACATTTCTAACGATGTGAGATTTGTAATGTTTGATCGAGAAATTTGCGAGAAAAATTCCGGATGGACAAACGCAAGCGTATTATTTATATAGATTTGTGGCGTTCAATACAAACAACCATATATTCTCCAAAGAGCACCATGAACTATATTGTGCTTTTACGATCCATTTCAAGCGATGGATAGGTAGTATACAAGATGTTATTTTAATATTTATAATAAATATAAAATAATGACAACGAATTATTTTATTAAATGAACAAGTAAATACTTATGAAAGAACAAGTTATAAGAACAAATTAATGAAAAATTACAAAATAATAGATTTATGTGAAACGACTAAAATCACGTTTGTTTGTCTGTGTGAGAGCAAAGCCACATTGTGCTATCTGTTGTGCCCACCGCGGGGAATCGAACCCCATCGGGGGACACTAAAATTGTAGACATATTTTTTCAGTGAGGCATCCAGTTTTTTGATTATTATTTTTTTCTTAACTGGGGACCCATTCGAACCGGGGGGCCCGGGACAATTCTATACATTCTCCCTCCCCCTAATCTGGCCCTGTTTATGTGTGTGTGTGTGTGTGTGTGTGTGTGTGTGT